ATTATTTTAATTCTGACAAAAAAATCGACTATATCTGTAATCTACACTAACCCAATGTGATCCTACTTGTCAGGTTCTACTATAACAATCATCCATTGATTAATCTTCAATAATTTTTTATTTCAATTTGATTTGAGCGAAAATCAATAAGTAAAAATTATATCCTGAAGAATTGTGGTCTTATATAACATATATGATCATCATTCTAGTCATTATGGTAATAGAACATAAAGTCAAACCTCCTAAATGCATAGTATATGAAAGACCTCTCTAAATGTATGGCCTTATTTGGCCCAAACTCATATAACATTTATAGATTTTTACCTCCCTAAATACAAGATTTTTGGCCGCCCCTCAGCAATGCATTTAGAGTGCTATGACTAGAGATGTGTGAATGCATATTTTTTGGCACTGCATTGCATAATACAGCATAATGCAGTATGCGACATTATGCAATCATAGTGTTCTACCAAAATCAAGAAGCAAAATTTATACCCAATCTTTTTTATCTCTAGACAGAAGTTTACTATTTTATGGTATTAGTTAGCTTGCTTTATACAGATAGGAATTCACTAACTGATGCTACATATTACTTAGTATTATATATGATATAAAATATAATATTTTATTGCATTAAAATTATATAGTTTTTCTATGTGCACTTTTAAATTTTAAATGTCTACATTATATTATGCGACACTATGTTTTGCATAATGTAATACACATAATGCAGAATGCCCATCTCTAGACATTAGTGTTAAATTTTTAAGTAAAAATATTTTTAATTTTAGTTTTATAAATTTACATTAATATATTTATATTATATATATTTCAATAGATATATCATAAATATAACAATTGGATTACTAGTAATATAATTGAATTTATACAATCTAAAAAATTTATAAACTATCTTATGCTACTACTGCAATATAGGTTAATAATTTAAAATAAAATAGATAATGATTTAATTAAAAATTTATTTAAATATTGTAATATTTTTAAAAATAATAGTGTTATAGAATTTGATTATTATAAATTTGAGGATAAAGTAAAAATATACATTTTGTTTATAATAATATTGATTGACAGTATTATAACAAATGATAGTATTAAAAATAAATAAAATTAATTAAATCATTATAATAAATAAATATTAACTTTGTAATTTATATTAATATATACTTATCAGCTTTGGCTAAATTTGCTTATTTTTTAAACTGTTTAGTAGGTAAATTTGTATATTTAAATAAGTTTAAAAGGTTTTTTTAAATTTTTTAAAATTTATTTAAGTATAATCCTCTATTTATTGAATAAAATTAAAGATATTTCTTTTATAAATAATATATTTTAAATTTTATTATTTTATTGATAAAGATCTTATACTTTTAATAAATTTATTTTTTAATTTTACTATTAAAATTTTAAAAAGTTTTTTAAAATTTTATGTTTTTTGAAAAAAACTTTTTTGTTACTACTAAATAAAATTTAGACTTGATAAATTATAAAAGTAGTAAATCTTAAATTTTTATTAAGTAAAACTAAAAAATTTTTAAAATTAAATTTTTTTTAACAAATTATAAATTTTTCTTTAATAAACAATCTAAATTTTTATAAATATTAAACAAATAAAAATAAGGTTTAAATAGTATATAATCATAATTTTATTTAAAAAAATATATAATATTTTTATTTTTAACAAAATAAATCAGATATGAATTTATAAATTTAAGCAAATAAATTTGCCTGTTTAACTAGATATTTTAAAGGATACTTAAATATTTCATGTTTATTTTAATATTATTATATCTAAATACTTTGTACTATAATTATATTATATATCAATTATAGTACCCAGTACTTTTTGATCTTTTATATTATATACTATAATTATATATGGGCCTTTTACACCAAGATTACTAAAAAAAATAAGGTATTATGCTAAGAGAGTATATTACGTATCTCACAAAATATAGTAACAATATATAATAAGAAAGTTGATATTATTATTGTTATTTTTATTGTTAAAAAAACAAAATTTATCTATTTCTAGATTTTTTTCATAGCTGCTGTGCTTAGTTGCTTGGTGGGCAGTACAAATTACTGGTTTTATCTTATTTTACTACTACTCATTTCATAGACACAACATTTCACCAAAAATCAATTCACAACATGTTTATTTTACTAACACTTAATTCAATGGCAAACTTAATTTACCGATACACAATTTACTGAGAATCAATTTACTGATACTCAATTTGCCAACAATCAATTCACCAACAAACAATTCAACAAAACTCAACTCAGTGACACTCAATTTACTGACACTCAATTCATTAACAATCAATTTACCAACACTCATTTCACTAATACTCAATTCACCAATATTCAATTCACTAACAATTTATTCACTGCAATCAATTCACTGACACTCAATTCACCAACAATCAATTCATTGAAAGCTTAATTCCAGTTTGGGCATATTCCAAATTTAAATCAAAGATCTAGAATGATCTATGAAATTTGGTAAAGTTTGATTGGCTCTGTCACGTTTTTTTATGTCATTTTTTCTCTTAAAGGTTTCACAAGATTTTTACTTTCAATTGTTACCAAACGATATTCGAATAGATAGTATAAAACATCTACTTTCGATCATCCCAATTAATCTCTCAGTATAAGCTGATCTAAAAAAAGTAAATGAAACCTTAAGATCGGGATTTTTTGGCACAAAATTTGCTAGTTGGAACAAGTGAACTTGTTAACTAAATAATATTTAACCAATTTTTTGTAGTGTTAAATTATCAAAAACAACCCGCACAAGATCTTCCGTGTATATTCAAAGATTTAGTTAAAAAATATAATGAAGCTGGATTAAACAGAAGCTCATCAAAAGTAAAATGCAACTGACCCAAAAGCAGTTGAGCGACTCACATTTTTAAACCTTATTTCTCGAACTCCCTTTCTCTTTGTATAGGTAATAATGGTAAGCATTATTTATATTCACTTCCTATATCACAAAACATTCATTATAAGATCAAAGCTGAGAATGAGTTAATGAAGTAGTAAAATAGGAGCTTTTGATAGTTGAACATGATATACTAGAATATTATATAATTTTTCTTTATCGAATTTGAGATATGTGTATGATGCAATTATTTTAAAAGCAATGTACTGTAATTTTTTTTTTTTTTTTAGGGTGGGTTAATAAAAATGGGTCAACTGGTCAAAAATAATGTTTTTGTTAGGCTGGTATTTAAAAAAAAGAAAGAAATCGCTTAATCATTGCTATATGTAATTACACATATCGATATTATTTTTTTATTACAATTTCTGACATAAGAACATATATAAGAAATTGCAATTAATTCCAATCAATTAATTTGGTTCAAAAAATTGCAATTAATTGCCCCCACAATCAATTATTCAGTAGGCCTATCCAAGGTTAGACCAATGCATACAAGTGCACGATATATTTGTGGATCATAATGAGTATAAAATTTGTCAAATTTCAAAGCACTAATTTTCATAGAATTTTTTGCCAAGATCTTTAATATCGCAATAGTATCATCAATAGTAAAGTCACAAAATTCTGCCAAAGTTAAATCTTGAAGTTGAGAGGAAAATTGATTTTGTCCTAATAAATAGAAGATCTCTGGCTTAACTTTAGTAAACATAGAAGGATTTAACAGTAATTTGTACAAAAAGACACCATTCTCAATAAATAATTTAACTAATAAATTGGTTTGTGATATATCAATAGGTCGTCAGATGATATCGAACCAAAATGCTGAAGTTTGGGCCCCTTCTTTTTCAAGTTTTTTAGCGGCTTGAATTCTCTCCCAAATTAAAGCAATCTTGATCGATACAAATTTCTTCATAAAGCTTGAATATTTTTTATTAAAAGTTATCTTTATGAAATTTGATGAATCGGCTTTTTGCCCTAAATTTTAAGTTTTAGTCTCAGCGCCAATGTTTTAAAAAGTTTTTTAAAATGTTTAAAGCATCTAAAAAACTATTTAAAGCATTTTTTTTTTATCTCTAACTTACCAATATAGCGCTGCATATAGTTACCCAGGTACTTTTTAAGAAAGTCGGCCTAGATTGAATGATATCCCTCAGACTTTGGGAGATGGAAGGATAATACAATAATCATTACCGATCTATATATACCTTGCGATTTCGTTCTTTTTTTCAAAACATTCCAAGAGGATAAGTTTTAACTTCCCCACTCTCCTCATTTTTTTGTTTGATTTTTTTTTCAACACTTACTATTTCTCCAAAAAACTGTGCTAAAATGGATCTTTCGTCTTTTTCTGGCTTAATATTATCAAGTATTTGCTTGACTTTTGGCAAACCTTGAGTAATAGCTATTCGACATATCAAGATCGCACTATTAATGATGTCAAAAAAACGACACCAGGGGGTACTATATACGGCGATTGTGAAGAAATTTTGGTGTCGTAAAACCTTCACGTAGCTATGCTTGCATATAACTTGTAGAAAATTCGAATAAGATTCTAGATTCATCTGACTGCTGATCATTACTAAATAAGGCGCAGATCATCAATGACCAAATTCGGAATATGCCCTGACTGAATTCACTAATCTTACAACTGATTTGAAAATTAGTAGGACATGCGGCAAATTTTGGTAATTATAATACGACAGGGTGAAACCCGCGCAAGAATAGTATCTAAAATAGTAACTAACCCTAATTAAGTATAGAACTGCATCAAGAAAGTTATCACCTCTGCGCAGATTTTACACTTTCATATGATCATATTATAATTATCGAAATTACAGTTTATTTTCGGTAATATAATTTTCAGTATATCACCGGTATAATCTTATATCGGCCGAAAATCTTATTATCGAAAATTACATGTTTATTGTGGCAGATGAAAGTGAAATCGGATTAAAATGAAACGAGGGATAGTGTAAAATAGACAAGCCACCGAAAAATACAAATTTTTGGGATACATTTTTTTAGCATTTTTTTAGGTTTAGGATTAGGGTTTAGAAACAGGTTTTATAAACAAGTATAAGTGGGTTTTAGGGGGTCAAATAGAAACCCTTCATTTCATTTTAATCTGATTTCATTATGATCTGCGACATTTATTACCGTCGAAATTTGCCGATGATCATCACATAATTCTGGCATAATTACTTTGTCAGTGAATTAATCGTTGATGAAATGATTGTCGGTGAATTGGTCGGGAATTGAGTGTCGGTGAATTGAGTGTCCGTGAAATGAACATATCGGTGAATTGATTGTCGGTGAAGTATTGTGTCTACGAAATGAGTGTCTGTGAAATGGGCGGGACCGCAAATTATTCGCAAAAATTTGATATAAAAAACTTATGTCCTCAAGTTATTCTTACATTGTTTAAACTGATACAGTTTCTCTGTTGCACCAATACGATGAACTTTAAAAATATTAACCCCCAAGATTTGAACTTTGCATTACGCTGAAAGCCTGGATTTTTTTGCACATTTTAACATTCATTTTAACGACTTTTAACATCAAGCTTCGCTTGTTTATTCTTTTGTTAATGAGTGTCTCTAATATTCAGTTAAAGGGTTCACGAATCATAAAGTTATATTCTTGTGAATCCATAATGGAAAATTCACTAAGAATTGTTTCAAGATTTCAACTTTTCTAGCACCAGATCATTTATGGTATAGTACTGAAGAAAGTTTACGCCGACCTTTTTTTTTTATATTAGTTCACGACCATGACGAGTAAGTCATGATATATTAAAACCAATTAAAATAAAACAATCATGATTTTTAAAATCTCGGTTTAAGCCATTTGTCATACTAATTATTTATCTAAAATTATTCTGATTTTATAATTTTTAAATCGTTAACTATCAATGCATAAGTTTAAGATTATATCAACTTTTGGCTCTACCCCAAAATCCCGACATCCAAAATCTCGACAGACCATAATACTGACATCACACGATGTAACAATTAAAAATTTAAAGTCTGACAATAATTGTTAATGTGATTACTGATCTTTAAATATTAATTGTTGCGTCGGGATTTTGGGGTAGAACCTCTAGTTTTCTATACAGTCAGACCTCTCTAAGTGCATGCCCTTGGAACCACACTTTAACAACGTGCATTTAGAGAATAGTAGACCTCTCTAAGTGCACCCTCTATAAGTGCAAATTTCTCTAAATGCACGTTTAGATTCCAAATATATAATTGACTTCTATAAATACAGTTTTTCTTATTATTCTCTAAATACACGTTGTTAAGTGTGGTCCCAAGGGCGTTTACTTAAAGTGGTCTGACCGTAATAAGAAAAAATGTATTTATAGAGGTCAATTATATATTTGGCCGGGATCTAGAGAGGGTGTGCGTTTATAGAGGTGCACTTAGAAAGGCCTGACTTTATTAGTATTGTGTGGGTATGTAGATAAATATTTATTCAAATATCATCATTTTTATTGACTCGAATGCTCAAAATTACATTTATTAATCAAATATTTTTCGTTACTAATAGCCTTTAATAATCAGCAATTATCATTTCATCATCCTTTAAACATCCGATACCAAAAAACGAAATTTTAATTGAAGAAATAGACAAATAAGACACCTGTAAACATGTTATTAGTCAAAAATAATGCCTAACATTAATAAATTTTCACTATTTTAAAATTTCTACAGCTGTTTTCATGCTTTATGCTATTTTATGCTCTTAAGGATCAATCGACCGTTAGTAACTTTTTATATGGGTTAATAAGTGCATTATTGTATTATGTTAATGTGTTAAAAAATTGTTAAAATTAGAACTGCATAATCGACTAAAATATTTTTATTCGTATTACGTGACAATTATTCAAATTAATTTACTGTTTCGAGATTCTTCGAATTGAAAAAAATTCATAATTTACTCCTAAATCCATATTGCGTTCACGCTTAGAATAACCCAAATGCACAATTAGACATTTGTTTCAAAATGGCTGAATTAGAGTATTCATCTGCTTTACAGCTTATCATTTGTAAATGAAAGAAAAATAAATATTAAATGTACGATCATCGATTGAATGTTCTTACCTATAAAAACTTTTCATTCTAGTCATTAAATAGTAAAGAATAATGTGTATTGTTATTCATGCCTTATTTTTACTAATTTATACCTTCTTCTATATAAATATCTGATTATGATACTCAGACTATATAATGGCATCACAATTATATTATGCAATATTTGGTTAAATAATTTTTTTTACAGAGTAAGGTGTATGAATAGCAATTTCCAAAATAAATAAATAAAATAAAGTAGTAAAATTTAAAGTATATGCAATTGTCGGCATAAAATAAAATAATAATAATAAATAAACTTTATTATAAAATAAGAGAAGGAAAAATTTTTTAAAAATGACAAGAAAGAGCGGAGTGGAAGTTATAACGGTTATGAAGATACATTTATGGAAAAAGGATTATTAGGAAATTTGATATCTGTTATGAAAAATCAAAAAAATCGAAAATTCAAATTACTTTTCTCAACAATGGTCTAATTAATATTGAACAGCTTTTTTTTTTTTATTTGAAAAATTTTATCATTCTCTTTCATGTAAGAGCCCTTTTTAATAATTTTATAATTAGATTATAAAAAAAATTTCTTGTAAATTATTAATCAAATTATAAAAATATTATAAAGTCGATTATAAGAAAGAAACGATAAGACCTTTGAATAACTAGTACATTGTTGATAAAAAATTTAATTAATCTATATTTTTTATATTTTTCATACGTAGAGGAAGTATAAACAAAAATAACCTTCAAATCTCAAATCCCATTAGAAAATCCGAAATTAATGATCTACATTATGTACCCTGACTATGTTTTGGTTAATTAGTCGAAAAACCCTAATGTGTCATGAGAATCAATCAGAAAGTAGATCATTATGTCATGAGAATCAATCAAGAAAGTAGATCATTATGTCATGAGAATCAATCAAAGTACTATACCCAATCAAAACCAAGATTTGTGTACAAACGCAAAACTCGATACACTCGTTTCACTACGTTCCTGTATAATATCGACACATTCAACATTAAATTTTTGTTTGAATACTTACCCAAAATGTTAATTTGTTTAGTTTGTACGAAATTTATGAAAAAGACTATCAAGAAATACAAAAAAGGCTCCGAATAAAAATTCGACTTTATAATAAATATATTACATGAAAAAATGCTAATATTAAAAAAGTTAGATATTAAAAAATCAAGATTTTAACATTTGGAAGGGTGTCAATAGAAAAGGAACAAATATTCTCTAAATAAAAGCTTTCTTAACTTTAAATTAAGTATTTCAACAATTATCTTATCATGTTTAATATTTTTTTTATTTTAATTCTATATAATTCTAAAATTAAAATAAATTTTTATCAAATTTGATTAGATATTGTTGAGATATTTTATTTTAAAAATTAAAAAAATTTACTAAAAACTGTTTTGTTTCTTTTCTATTGACTCCCCCATTTTGGGGGTCTTTGCCTTGAAAATCACCTTACGACATTTCCGAACGGGCTAATTCGGACAAAACATCGGTTTGTATTTATAAGTGAATCACATTTTACCTTTATTACTTCAATAGTTTATTGAATAAACTATTGGATCAATAAATCAAAATGTGATTCACATAAATACAAACCGATATTCTGGTCTGTTTTGTCCGAATTGGCCCGATCGGAAAATGTCGTAAGGTGATTTTCAAGGCAAAGACCCCATTTGTCGAAAGTTTTTTTAATACATCTATTTCTGTTAAGTGCATGAGAATCGATTTGTAAAAGACCTAAGTCTTAACAATTTTTTGAATTAATAAGCCTTCTAAAGTTTTTTTTTTCATTTGCCAACGAAGATGCTTTAAAAAGTAGATATGCGTATGTAGTCTTATAATATTCCCTACAAAAAAAATCCTTTGGAATCATTCTGAAATTATCCGATTTTTTGTTTGGCGAATCGACTCCGTTTTGAATATTTACAGGATGTTTATTGAATGCTATACATTTTTTGTACGATAAGCATTTAATTAAACATCCCCAATTTTAACGTCCCGTAATGAAAACAGTTTAAGAACAAACCCCTGTTCGGAAAACGACGCCATTCCGAACAAATTTAGAACAAAAGTTTTATAGGAATTTTATATTAGCCACCTGGTCTTAATTTTATATTGAATCTATCATGCCTGAAATGTAGTGCCTGAAGTTGGCACCCGACTAAAGTTGACCTGACTGAAATTAGCCCCTGAAATTAGATCATCCTGCACGCACTAGCTAGCGGTTTTAGGCAAGTGCCAACTTCATGCCACTTCAGGCACGACATTAATATGTAAATTTTATTGAACGAAAAATGAATAGCAGTATCATTACGGTTTGATTAAAGGTTAAAAGATGTGCTGTATTTATTACGTTAAGATCAAGGTATCAATTATTTGTTTTAAAAGCCTCGAGATTTAAAAATAAAGGGACTATTTTTTCATATCGGTTAGAAATTTGTTGAGAATTCATTGTTTATTGTTTATGATATGTAAAAAATTGAAATAATTCTTAAGCGATCTTTATCAATGGTAAGGCCAGACCAATTAAATTTTGTGTTTTACATTACCCCCCTCTACCTCCTGGAGGGTTTATTTTGTTATATATACGGATTTTTTTGTTTTTTTTTTACTATGAGATGGGAGAGATTCTGGGGGTAATTTAAAACACAGAATTTAATTGGTTTGGCCTAAATTTTTGAAGAAAAAAGATAGTTTATATCTCGCTGATTTGTTCATCAAAATGGTAACTCACTTGGTTAATTTATTCAAGTTCCGACTATTCACAAATTTGCCTCCGATCCTTGAGTAAGGTGCTTGAGAACGCCCTTAGCTGTTACTAAATTGAATGGGGAATTACAAAGAAATTATATATATGCGGATAATTTTCTGAATAAAATAAGAATCTTATTTACAGTATAGAATTAAAATTTTTAATTCGTTACACACTAGGCGAAGTGAGCTAAATTAATTATCGTATATCATGTGGACAAGTCACCTTACGATTGATAAAAAATTCATGTGTCTATATAGAGTCATATACAAACTAGTATAACTACTATACATATATGTATACTATACATTTTATACACATATGTATACTATACGTTCTTCCTTGTTATTAGTCTATGCAACGTCTTTCATGCCATTTACTATACAACTATTTGCAACACTGACTTGAATAACTCAAGTAATTAAAAGATTTTTATACCCACCAGCCAAATTAATATGAATGATGTGAGGCACTAAATTATACAATTTTAGTAACAAATTTATTTTCTAAATTCAGCACAGTAAATATCTCAAATCAAATTAAAAGTCAAACAAAAGTCAAAATAAAAGTCAGATGAATTTATACTGGTGATCATAAAATAATGCAGCAAAAAAAAAAGATTAAATCATATTATCTCATGTAATTTGGGACTAACCTTTATTTTTTATTATTATGTTTATAAATAGTATTTTTTTAGTAGAATTTTATTAATCATTAATACTATCAATGTATAAATATGTTATGAAACACATAATATATTATTTTTGCATATTTTTAATAAAAATCTAATGACATATTCTGTACTATGTTAATACATATAACAATAGAAATTTTTTGTTGTTTTTGCATTTTGTACAATATTAAAATTAATTAATAATCAAATTGCAAAACAAAACAAAGAAATATATAATTCTTATTCAAAAGCCCACATATTATATTTATTACAAAAAAGATATATTACAAGAGCTATAGGCCAGGCTGATCATATTAGCTCCTTTATTGGCTTCTATATAAAAAAAATAGAATTAGTAAACTATATACTTAATATTTAGAAAGAATTGGTTACTCTAGTGAATTGACCTATTAAAAAATCTGCACCTGGGTTACCTGATAGGCAGACAATGTATTACTTAGATGAAATTTGGGTTAGCTTCCAAATATCACCCAATGGATCATCTATTGGATCACTCAACAGATCACTTATCAGATTACCTGATGGGTTAGTATTAGTTTAAAAACTACTCATATTTAGAATTATGATATGGTTATTACAAAGTTATATATACTGCAAATCTTAAAAGAATTATGTGGGTTCATAAATTAGGATTAGAAATCACTAAAGATTAGAACTATAAAAAATTATGCAGAAAATTAATCATGCCACTAAACTATAAGTTATAAGATTACAATTGTTTTTATTAATTTTAGAACTTTTGGTAATAAAAATATTAAAAAATAAAATACCTTTAAAGAAAAAATTTTAAAGCTTATTAGATCAAAAAATTGGCAAAACTTAAATATTAGTTCTAAAATTGCTTATCTTCTATATATTTAAAAATATAGATATTTAAATTTGAAGCTAAATAATATATGCAATATGTATATTTAATAATTTTTATTTTGTTAGTTAACCTGTAGATTAGCTAATAAGTTAACTAACAGGTTACTCACAAGTTAACTTATCTAAGTTGTAATGATTCAACTCAGATAACTCATTTACCTGCAAGTAATCTAGATAATACTTACTCAAGTTACAATACTAGGTTACTTATCTTTGGTAAATAAACCAACCCAAAGAAAAATTATATACTTGATTACCTTTTGTTATTACTGTATTGTTATACAGGTAGTTTTCTATCTAAAAAAAATTTGAAGTTTTGGCTTTTACTATTCAATATATACTTTGAAAGCATAATTTGTGTTGAGTATTAAAAAAATTCTTGCTAAATATTAGTTATCAAAAGTGGGATTGAATTTGCAAAAAAATATAAAAATTAGTTTATCAAAGACTGATTTAAAGTAATCTGGTCTAATAAGTTAAAGTTTTAAATTTTTAGATTAGATAGCAAGCAGTATTATTAAAGCATTCTAACAAACAATTAAACTGGTTCTATATTTAGCCAAAAGTAACATACAAAAATAGTTCAATTATAAATTAGATATGCTTTATATCTCATAGTATTTA